AGGGACTGGTCCAGGGGCCACAGGTCAAACTCACAGATTCCAAGGGGCTGATCCCAGGGTCACAGGTCAAACTCACAGGTTCTAAGGGGCTCATCCCAGGGTCACAGATCAAACTCACAGATTCCAAGGGACTGGTCCAGGGGCCACAGGTCAAACTCACAGATTCCAAGGGGCTGATCTCAGGGTCACAGGTCAAACTCACAGATTCCCAGGGGTTGATCCCAGAGTCACAGGTCAAACTCACAGATTCCAAGGGGCTGGCCCAGAGGTCACAGGTCAAACTCACAGATTCCCAGGGGCTGATCCCAGAGTCACAGGTCAAACTTACAGATTCCAAGGGGCTGGCCAAGGGGTCACAGATCAAGCTCAGAGATTCCAAGGGGCCGATCCCAGAGTCACAGGTCAAACTCACAGACTCCAAGGGGATGGCCCAGGAGTCGCAGGTGAAACTTACCGATTCCAAGGGGTTGGCCAAGGGGTCACAGGTCAAACTCACAGATTCCAAGGGGCTGATCCCAGGGTCACAGGTCAAATTCACAGATTCCACAGGGCTGGCCCAGAGGCCACAGGTCAAACTCACAGATTCCAAGGGGCTGGCCCAGGGGTCACAGGTCAAACTCACAGATTCCAAGGGGTTGATGCCAGGGTCACAGGCCAAACACACAGATTCCAAGGGGCTGATCCCAGAGTCACAGGTCAAACTCACAGATTCCAAGGGGCTAGCCCAGGAGTCACAAGTCAAACTCACACATTCCAAGGGGCTAGCCCAGGGGTCACAGGTCAAATTCACAAATTCCAAAGGCCTGATCCCAGAGTCACAGGTCAAACTCACAGATTCCAAGGGGCTGATCCCAGAGTCACAGGTCAAACTCACAGAATTCAAGGGGCTGGCCCAGAGGCCACAGGTCAAACTCACAGATTCCAAGGGGCTGGCCCAGGGGTCACAGGTCAAACTCACAGATTCCAAGGGGCTGATCCCAGAGTCAGAAGTCAAACACACAGATTCCAAGGGGCTGATCCCAGAGTCACAGGTCAAACTCACAGATTCCAAGGGGCTAGCCCAGGAGTCACAGGTCAAACTCACAGATTCCAAGGGGCTGATCCCAGAGTC